TGGAGTTTGGAAAACTGCAGCAAAGAAGTCCGTAAAATCTCCTTCAGTGGGGAGTCTCTCTGATTTTAAACACAGGAATACATCCTGAAATCCCAGCTTTGTTGAGAGCATGTTTGTCTTGAGCTTTTGTCCATGTATTGAGCTGTTGTAACTCAAACATTTTAAAATCGCAGCCTGGCATTTGGAAGTGAAACACACTGATGGTGCTGATACATTTTCTAATACCTAGACAGTAATAAATAGTTTTGATTAGTTCAAATATTTGCCCTGAGTATAGTTTAAAAAAATCACAAAAAACCCTAATCCCATTCTGTTTATAAATATTACACTTAAAAATAATGGGATTCTACTCAGAATTAATATTTCTGAGTGGCATGTTGACTGTATATTGATTTTTACTTACCATATGGCATCACTCACTCATTGTACAGGTGTTGTAAGGTGAAGCAGGGGAAGAGTTCAGGAGAAGGCTGGATGAGTTTACAGAGGAAAAGTCCTTTGGGAGTAGTGAGTAGGTAGGCTTCTGGCTGACGAAGTTCCCAAGCTGCAAATAGATGGAGGCCAAGAGGCTACTTAAGGAGAGGTACTGTATGTGCTTTCCCTTTCATGTACCTTCCTTTCCTAACTCTGTTCTTGGCCACTGTTGGAGACAGTTGGATCCATCCTAGATGGATCTTGTTCTAACCCAGTATGACCACTCTTACTTCCTCATGTTTGTGTGGCGACAGAATGCCAGTGCTTGTAATCACAGCATCGATACACAGCAAATGATTTGTGGACTTAGCTTAGATCTAAGCCTCTCGATAAAGCTAACAGTACAGAACAGGATGAATCTGAAGGAGGTTGGGCAGCCAGGTCCATTCATGACTTTAGGGTTATTAGTGGAGAAGAGTCACCATGCAAATGGAAGTCCCTAAAAATAACTCCAGTGTATGTTAAAGCAATTGGGATGTGCTAAAAGGACTGGAATAATCAATAGAAAAGAACAAAGCCAGGGGAACTGACTGCAAACTTTTCATGAAGCTAGTTTCAAAAAAGAATTAAACAGAAAACAGGAAGCATCAGAGTGGTGGTTTGTAGAAACGGCATGTGTAGGAAGAAAAACCATAAAGAGGAACCAAAATGCAAGTCTCATAGTGAAAGTAAAAAACCCAAATATATGTTATAACTGCCTTCATTGCGATAAAGGAACCCAGGGAGAATTAGCTGGAATTGATTGACTGTCCTGAAGTAGCTAACTGATTGAAAACTTACCTCCTTGCTCTTTGCTAGTAAAACTGAAATCCTAGATTTCCTGGCCAGTGAGTTTAAAACTTCATCAGCAGGTAACTTATTAACTTCATCAGTTGTGTTGAGGGAGCAAAACCTTAGGCAAGTGTCAGAGGGCAGAATGCAGAGAAGTAGAAATCCTTAAGGAGTGGTGTGGGAAATGGAGGCGTGTAGCTGCTGCAGTCCCTAGGGACAGTGTTGCGGCCATAAAACTCTCCAGAGACACGTAAAGAGAAGGAAGGAAGTGATGATGGGTGGTTATAGGTAAGGGACAGAAAGGGGAACCTTCTTTTCCAGTCACCCCTGTTTGATGTAAACCTTGTGGTTGTTGATTCTCTGTATGGAGCCTCATACTGGTTTAGTGCTTGGTTGTCTGGGAGCTGTAGGGACACACCAAAAAGTGGTGAATTCAATACGGAGTGTTGCTCACACCAGCAATTTGCACGTTTGTACTATGGAGGTAACAGTGCTGCTTTGAGTCGTGTGTCACCTCTGAACACTGGAATATTATTAAGAAGAAGAAAGATGAAAGAGGATCCAGGGAAGTGAAGATGGAGCACTAGGGGATTTGACCTCAGCTGAAGGGGAACTGTTAAACATGCACTACTCGGGATTAAACCAGCAAACAGGGCTGGATTTGTAATTGTTTGGAAGTATGTGAGTTACCACACTGAATAGCAGGGATCTCTTTTGCGTCTATAGAACAAAATGAAGCATTCTTTGTTAGTCTTCCATTAGAAAATTAACCAGGTTGGGATTTGCACCAGTAGTTGCCCTTCCTCATATGAAAAGGGAGTATTGTCACAGACTTGAGTCATGTCTCTGCATCTGAGCTGACTTCCTAGGCGCAATTAACGTGTACTAAATTCTTGGCGATAATTAGGAGTCAACTCTTGCTTTCTGCAGCAGTGTCTTTGCGCTGCAGGCACGTACTGGTAGAGAAGTAGAGGGTTGCTGCCATTTCATTTCACAGCTCCACAAGATGGTGTTAGGCAGTAGTCCCTGCTAGTACAGGATGAACTTCAACCAGAATTAGGGGCAAGTGCTCAATTACTTCCTGCCAAATCTGTGCACAACCCATACTCTCCAGAGGTGTCTCCTCAGCATAATGTCAGTGAGGTAATGAACGATGTGTCCCGGGTGGAGGCGTTTGTGCCAGCTCTCCTTGTTGGAAAGAACAGCCCCTATTCTTATGCCAAACATTTGTAGGGTTTCCATTCTGTTCCTCCAAAATGATGTCTAAATCCAATGCATTTCAGTAAAGTTAAAAGGTGTGGACCTATTTTTCTTCTTAAGATGGTTTACGGATTTCCCAACTTGGCCAGCCTAAGGTGCATTCAGTTGGAAGAGAGAGTAAATGAAGTAAGTTCTGGAAGGTCTAACGAGCTGGAAAATAGTGTGTCATGCAAGGTTTACATAGATGTCCAGAGCCCTCTTTCCACCCTATACTCAGTGCATAGAGAAAGTCACCTGGTTTTCAGGTCAACCATTTTCTACGCTGTAAAGCCTGCATGAAGAGAAGATGAAAAGAGCTACTTCTTCCTAGCATTAGCAGCTTTCTCCCCATCCTCTATGGTTTATTGCTTGTTGGTCATTAGGTGTATTGGAGTTAATTAGTTGGAAAGGGAAGCTTGAATCAAAGATTGACAGGCAGCAGAGAGGAGCCATGCATACACACTGTGTGAAAGAAACGAGTAGAGGAAAGGAAGGATTTTGTGGGTCACAGATGAAGTCCAGGCTGTAAACAGTCAGCATACAATGGACTTTGTGAAAGAAGGGCCTTGAAGTGTGGATACATTCAAGCAGCCTGCTGGGAGGTGCAGGTTTAGTTGGTCTGTAGTTTCTTCAAGCTGACACCAAACTGACAGTTACAAAAACTCAGTAGACTTAAAAAAAACAAACTGAGAAAAAAAAACCCAGACAGACGTCAGAACTAACATCATAAATATTAGTGAGCACTTTTTTAAAGGACAGTACCAGGATACCCAGAGGCGGAAGGTGTCCTGTCTACTAGACAGACATCAATAATTTATCCATTTGTGAACAGGGGTTTTGGGGCAAAGAGCAGAACAGGAAATTAAAAAAATGTGCAGGGACAGATCCTCAGTTGGTGTAAAATATAACTCATTTGGATTGAATGGAGCAGTGACAGTTTTCAGCAACTGAGGATACAGTTCTCTATTTTTTGTGTAGACACTATCCCCTGTGATGGTAAAGGACAACACATGAGGATTCCTCCTCACATTCCTCTGTACTGGCAGCAACAGCTGATAGACTCAGTCTCCTGGAGGCCGCAGGCTGCTGCGGAGTGGGTGAATACTCAGGGACCTGAGCTGCTGCTACTGCACCAATAGACATGTGGGGTGGCCTGTCCCTCTGGATTCAGGAGAGCTTCACCTCTGGCCTTCCAGACCACTAGGCAGCAGCAGTAACTGTTGGGTTACCTGCATCACAGTCTGTGTGAGCACAGGAAAGATGGTCAGCAGGCTAATGCTGTTCTGAATTTTAAGTTTCTAAAAACACAGATAAGAAAATGTAATAAAACCCTAGGTTTTATGCAAACAACAGAAAATAGTAGAGGTGGTGGGATGCAGCTGATAAAATGTTGGACACTATAATTATTCTTAGTGAAGTTCAAGTTATTGTCTGTGGCAGCACCAGAAACATTAGCTGTCCTGGCTTCATGTTCACTTTTACAGTCCACCTATGCCTCTTTTTGAGGTGACAATGTTTTTTGTCACCACATCCAATCTCTTCCCAGGGTGCTTTGACCTTGTAACATTTCTGTCTGTGAAAGCTGAGAGTTCATTCATCCCTCAGCTCCAGGGTGTGTCCCGCATATGTGTGGGACGTATGTAGGTGACAAGTGTCAACTGAAGCAGAAGAGAAAGCTGGGCAGGGTTAGTGTCATGGTGTAACCCCAACTGGCAACAAAGCACCACACAGCCACTTGCTCACTCTCCCCACAGTGGGATGAGGGAGAGAATCAGAAGAGTAAAAGTGAGAAAACACATGGACTGAGATAAAGACCGTTTAATAAGTGAAGTAGAGGCCATGCACACAAGCAAAACAAGGAATTCATTTACCACTTCCCACGGGTGGGAGGGTGTTCAGCCATCTCCAGGAAAGCAGGGCTATGTCACATGTAATGGTTACTTGGGAGGACAAACACTGTAACTCTGACTGTTCCCCCCTTCCTCCTTCTTCCTCCAGCTTTATAAGATGAGCATGATGTCGTATGATACGGAATATCCCTTTGGTCAGTTGGGGTCAGCTGTCCCAGCTGTGTCCCCTCCCAACTTCTTGTGCGCCCCAGCCTGCTCGCTGGTGGGGTGGGGTGAGGAGCGTAAAGGGCCTTGACTCTGTGTAAGCACTGCTCAGCAGTAACTAAAACAGCCCTGAATTATCAACACTGTTTCCAGCACAAATCCAAAACACAGCCCCATACCAGCTACTATGAAGAAAATTAACTCTATCCCAGCCAAAACCAGCATAGTTAGGAAGTGCAGGAGCTCTGCAGCCTCCATGAAGGTCTGGGGCTTAAAGGATTGATGAATAGTGGCTACTGTTACCTTCTCAGTAATTTTGAAATGTTAGCATAAGCAAAAGGGAAGACCAAAATGAATGGTGGCAGGCCTGGAAGCTCAGGTAGCTCCTGAGGAAGGAAGCAATACATAAAGCTCCCCTAAGCAGGGAGAGGAAAGCACAGCAAGGTCTTGTGCAAGGGGAATATGGAGACTCTGGCAAAATCAAAAGGGAGGTGGGACGTGGACCTGCTGTGGCTTCCAGCAGCAACCCTATGGGGTCTCAGGCACAAGTACCAGTTAACGTCTGGATGGGACCCCTCTTTTGAGAAGGCTGCAAGGTACTGCTGAATGGTAGAGGAAAATGGGGTTAAGTTTCAAATACTGGCTCTGCTTTCTGGTGTTTTTTTGGTTTTTTTTTTGGCTTTGATTTAAGAACATGTGAATTTGCATTTTTCAATTACTTTTAAGCCTCCTTTGAATTCTTCAGTGGTCTTGTGCATTGTCTATGGCTGGCCCTGAATTTGGGAGTCCTGGTGTGTACAATGAAGACAGCCTACACATGCCAAACAAAATGCAGTCCCCTTGGTGTGTGATCATGTCCCCAGCATCTGGGGACTCAGTCGTCCTTGAGTCAGAGCAACCATATTTGGTTAAAATTGTCTTATGCTGTTGTAATCCATCAGATGCTGTTTGGTACTGCTAACTGGTTTGTGTCATCTGCCCGATGAATTCCTGGCTGGAAGCTTCCCTTTCAATACAAATATGCCTTGCCAGCCACTGAGCTTTTTATATGTGGTTTGGATTTGGTTTTGGGGTGGGGTTTTTGGGTTTTGTTTTTGGTAAGAATCTAGGTTCCTTAGTGCTGCCAAATAATCTTTCCTTCACCCGTGTGGTGCAGCATGTGGGGAGAGCAAGCCATTCCTGCCGTAGCTAGCTGCAGATTACAAGGTGGACACAGGGGTGCTCAGCTGTACAAAGGTCAAAGGCATAATGATAAAATACAAGTAGATTTCAATTAATGATCTTTCAAATCTCCTCAAACTGAAAGAGAAAAACACATGTAATGTCTAGGTGATCTCCACGCTGTCAGTCTTTAATTAGATACCTGAGGTAAAGTTTACCCTTGCAAGACAAGACAGCAAGCAGCATGGGCACCCTGTGAATAAAGAGCTTGTGTGAGAGCAAAGGGCATCTGGGCTCTGCAGCAGCACAATTCAGCACTGGAGGTTTCACTTCAAAGGCAGGGCAGCTGGAGGAGAGCAATGCTTTGGGCTGCTCCTGCGCCTGGGCTTTTAGTTGCATTATTATTACTTATTGGGTTGAGCTGTGAATCAAACCACTATGAAAAAAAGAGGCAGAAAAGAGCCGTTTATGATGAGCAGTAAGTACCATTGCTTGCAAATGCGTTTGTCCGTATGGTGGCTTCTAAGTGCCAGTAATGGGAAAAGAATGGCTTTGCTGCAGCTCTTTCTCACCTACTCTTTGGCAGATATGTGTAACTAAATGATCTCTCTGTTTTTTTTCTGTAATACAACAGGCCTCGTTTGTCCTCAGAGCAAGGTAATCTAGTGTTCCGTGCTGGCTCTAGCAAAAATATTGAATTTAGAACTGGACCACTGGGGAAAATAAAAATTAATGAAGACGACCTTGCAGAACTTTTTAGTCAGGTGATATAGTTACTTTTCCTTAATATGTTTTTGTTCTCAGTTTTGCATATTAATAGTTTAATTGTCTTAGCAAATGTTTAATGTGTTTTGCATGATTGTTATATTATCTGTCAGCACTCTAAGGTGAAAGTAAGCTATTGCAGACTTGTAATCATACTATTACAGAGAATAATTAAAAGATTAAATTGTGTATGCAACAGAGCTCTCTGTATTTAAGTATTAACTTTATAATACTAAAGCAAGAATGAAACTTTTCTAAGCTTTTGAAAAAGCAAGCTTGTTTCACATTACCTCTGTTCAAATTTAGGTGAGAGAAAGTAATGCAGAGATTCAGGAACTTAAAAAAGCCAATGGTGCTTCTCAGAATGTGTCCCGGCAGGTCGCTCTGTTGACCTCCAAGGTGAGACATACCCTTGTGTTATCCTCCAGCATTCCCAGTTTTCCATTTCTCAGATTAACATCATTACCTGATTCATTTTAGTATTTCTGGACTCCAGGGAACTGGGGCAGAGTCCATATTTAACATCAGCTCAGAGTCTATGTGTTATGTTATTCAGTAACTCTGAAGACAATGGAAATATTCCTGTAAATCCCATAATTTCCAGTTACCAGGATTGTTCTTTTGTTCACTGTCAATGCCTCTATGGACTATATCCTTTAATATTTATGGAAGTGAAATCCCACTAAATTCAGGAAGCGGGTCATATATGTGCTTATAGGTGTCACACAAACATTCCATTCTATAGGTGAAATGGACTACAGGGATGTGAAGTAAAAAGACCTGTGCAATAGTTTTGTTTCTTCGCTGCTACTAAAGATTTTTCTCCAACAGAAGATGTTGAAACCTTTGTCCGACTTGGTTTAAGTGTCTTGTTACAGTGTTGACACAAGTTCCCTATAGGAAAATATTTTATAGCCTAAGACATCTCCCCTTTGGCAAATTGTACTAATAGGTATCCATCATCCTTCCTGATTCAGTTTCAGCTTGCTGTTTGTGGTTATGGCCCACTGAGATATGGTGAACCTTTTCTTGGCTTTTGGTGTACTGTCTCAGACCTCCGTCCTTCACATGCACATGGCCACCCGAATGATCCCATTGGAAAATTCACATCCTCAGTGCTGAGCACCTGAGTACATCTTCACAAGACTTGAGTCTTGCTTTTTGGACCCAAACTGTGACATGTTTAGGCTGTCATTTTCTGAACAGCCTAAAACACTGAAATCCCAGTGAATGGGGCCTGATCTGAACCTCATTGTCACCTGATTTCACATACCGACTATTCTCTTTTCTCGAAAGACACTGTTGTGTTAGTCTGCCAGTGTTCAGCACATACCTCTGTGGTCACTCTCGAACCAAGCACAATGTAATTTGCATTTCTCTTGCAGATCGTGAGTCTTGACAACAAACTTCAAAGCTTAGAGCAGGTGAGTAAATGGGCAGCAAACTAGAGATCAAAAAAGAAAAGCCCCACCCCAAGTAAATAAAGTGAGGTTACAATGATTAAATAGCTAAATGATTTCTTTCCTCTCATGTATTTCTCCAGGAGAGGTTTTTTTGGTAACAGGAGGTAAAATAAAGCCAAGACCTGTAGAGGAGGTGAAATGCCTTCCTACAAAATATAAACTGCGTAGGAGCCTGCATTCCTTAAAAGGAAAAACAGTTGTAGGCTCAAGAACAACTCCTAGATACCGAAGAGAAGTAAACTCTTCCTTCACTGATCTGTCAAAATGAAGGCTAGAGAATTCAAACTGGATTTTATATTGTGCTGTTAGTAGCTAATTTTCAGTAGTCACCAACTTCTCTACTGAGTTTGTGACAAGCCACAGCTGCTATTAAAAGCAGTTGTCAGATGAGTCACAAGACAAGATAACACTCCATCTAGACTCACAGTCTGCTGCTGAAAAACAGCAATATTTACTTCTTGCAGACCTTTCCTCATCCTAGTGCTTGCAGCTGGCCATCCTGTGTAAGCCTAATCATACTAGTCTTTGTTTTGTATAGATAATGAGAGAAGCAGCTCAAAACCTTTACAAATCAACCTGGCTGGAAAAAAAAAAACACGGGACACACAAGAAAGAAAGAAGGGGGGTGGGGGAGTGGGAAATGGTTAAAACGTTTGTCTTGAAAATAAGTCTAATGAAACACTAAATAAGAAGAAACTTAATTTTCTGCACTTTCCCTGTGTTTCAGACTATCCAGGGGAAAGCCTGCAGTAGTAACCCCTGTAAGAACTCGGGGACCTGTGTAAACTCTCTGGATGGTTTCTTTTGCCTCTGTCCCAGCAACTGGCAGGTGAGTCTTTAGCCCCCCTGGATAGAGCATGTATTTTAACTCTAAGGATACATCTGTAGTTGTGGTGAAACACAGCATTTTAGGGTTGCTCAGGACAGAGTGAGATATACTGAACAGCAAAGCAGCAGTATCAAACTCATCGTTTGGTTGAAGGGAAGCACATGTGCTTCTCAACATATCAATATATACCAAAAAAAAATGAAGCCCAAACCATTGGGCCAAACTGTGCACTCTTGTACGTGGGTGCTGGCCCATGAAGTCAGTGACACTTGGCAGTTTCCACAGCAGAGAACTAGTTTGGTTTTTGCTGAGCAGAGCGAACTGGACATCATGCCTTGCTGTTGATCTTACGCAAGGATAGAGAGAGAATGAGGGGGGGGAGAGACGGATGTTTATTCCAGCTCAAACAAATGAAACAAATGAGGGTGTAAGTAATCAATCCTATTCTGAGTTTTTGAAATCCAAAGACTTCATTGGCAGAGGCGTTAGTGGTGCTGTTACATTCCCTAGAGATAGAAAAGTTGTATCTTCTTCTCAAAGGCTCTCAACCTGAAAGTCATCCCAGCAAGATTTGAGTCAAAATTGCTGTGCTCTCAGTCTTAACAAAACAGCATCTCCCGGTAGAAGCAGTCTGAAAGTTTTCTGAGTCTTTTGCTATGGAGTTAGAAAGTAGGGGGGATGACAGTACTGTGCTGTTACATATGCTTTCTACAAACATCTGAAATATTTTATCCCTCATCTGACTGATAACCAGGGTCACAGAAACACAGATGAAAATAGAGTTTTGCTATAATATTTCATAAGGGAAGCTGTGTTGATAGCGGCCCATGGTTTGTATAACTTTGGAAACTATATTAAACATTGGCTGCATGGTTTGCTTCATTTCTCAGTTATTTGGAAAATAAACTGGGTTTCCATTTCATCTTAGGGCCTCCTGTGTTCAGTGGATGTTAATGAATGCCAGATTTATGCTGGAACAGCGTTAGGCTGCCAGAATGGAGCCACTTGTGTGAACACGCCAGGCAGCTACAGGTAACTTTTCCAAACTATACACAAAAACCCTATGTAAAATACTCTGCTATTTTGGTGCCCTGTATCACTCCTGCAGCACAGGTTGTAGGAATGTCTGTTTAGTATCTATGCACTGTAACCCCTTGCAGTCTGAGAGAATATAAAATCATTAATACATGGTACACCCGAGCCCACCACAGGCACAGGAGGCCCTCTGAAGCCATTGTCTGCTTCGACACAGAGCAGCAAGAACCAGCTTTATCACACAGCTGTGCTGCGAAAGGAGGCTGCAAATTGGACACTGGCTCCTGTGACCTGGCTCTCTGTTGTAGGTGGAGGTACTTTAATGGGAATTTACTGCACCATGGCGTGCCGATGGGGTGGTGAGATGTGGCATGCTGGTCTGTAACCAGTCCCTGCCAACGTGCCTACCTAGCACAGCCACATTAGCATCCCTCCTCTATCACCTATCCCTTGAGGCCAGAGGGAGCGAGGGAGATGAAGGAGGTAAACAGGAGCAGAGCTTCAGCCCAGCACAGGCTTTGAGTTGCTGGAAAATCTCCTGGATATATGGGCACTGGGCACTCTTGATCACTGGCATTCCCAGCATACCGCATCACTCTGAGAAATGTTTTCACCCCCTCCAGAAATACAGACCCTGCTGAGACTGCAGCAGAGCAGGCAACTCACAGTGCTGCCAGGCAGAAAGGGAGTAGAAATCCTGTCTGCAGCCCACCGGCCACGAGGGTGCCTGGGCTGCCCGTGTGCAGACCCCCAAAGACATGAGGTCCCTGGAGCAGACCCTTCTCTGGCTGTGCCCAGCTCCTTAGGAAGCATGCTCTTGTTTACAGGGCAGGTCAGCCTGAATGTTCTGCATCTTATTTTACGTAACGTCAAATAATGTGATAACTAACTTTCAGATATAATACAAAACTGTCCCTGTGCAGTGGGAACAAGCATGCTGGATAGCATGCCACAGCTCCCTGCAAAGCATTTTGTCTCCTGCTTCAGCATGAAAATCTTAGCCCCCACAAATATTTGCTTGGCATAACACTGGCTTATAGTGCTTTGTCAGTTCTTGGAAGAACCTCATGCAGGGGAAGTTCTGCAGTGCTCCACACAATCAAGCATTAACACAGGGTCTGCTGAGGTGTCACTGGTACATGATGCTCCTGTCCACTTTTCTTTGGTTTTAAAGGATGTTTCTAGCTTGTCTGCAGCTGTCCCCAACACAGACATTTGTTGAGGAAACTACTCATGAAGCCTTTACTTGTTGTTTGTTACTGTGCTCAGCGATGTGATGTACAGGTGTGTGACTAAATCAAGGTTTGAGAGGACAAACCCTCTGCCTTTCTTGCAAGTGTTTCCATTGTGTTAGTACAGTCATGATTCCTGTAAGTTTGTTCCCCAATGTAGTTCTTGCCCTCCCTGGTACTTACTGAATCAGTGCTTCCTGAAATGAAGTAAGAACTCTTCATAAGTCATTCAAATCTTAATATTACTGCTCTTGCATTATGCCTTCAGGATTATTGAGGGCACTGAGGGATTACTGAGTCCTTTCCCCAACTCCATTGTACTGTCTTCAGTCTCCCTTCACATACTGTCTGCCTGTCTTCTGAGTGCTCCCCAGTTGCTAAATCCAACCCCAGGTAGAACATGACATAGCTCTCTGTTCTTTGCAACAACTGTGAGAACATTGCTGCTAGTTTTTCTGAGGCCCAGCAACCCATGTCACCCCACTCCTGCTGTGGTGTAATTAATATGGACCAGTGGGGACTGCAAGTAAAGAAAATGGGAATACTTAACTTTCCATAGCCACCACTGACAGTGCCAAGGGAAGGGCAGTACTGGGTCAGGTACTGTCAAATGGAACGTAATACAGTCTTCCCTCTGTATTCAGATTCTTTATCTGGATGCTTCAAGCCATAATTCAGGAAGGCACTAAAGCATGAGGGAAAAAAAGAAGGTGTTCAGGAAACACCTTCCTGAATCAGGACCTTGACAGGATATTGCATCACTTGGATGAAAAGCTGTGAGAGTCCCCAAGTTTATCAGATGTTTGTGCCAGATTCAAAATAATGAGGGCCTCATCCCAATGTGTCGTCAGCAGTGGGAGAGAACCAGGGCAGTGCCAAGCAGCAGTGCATCTCAATTTGGCTGAAGGTCCTTGTGGCATGACCTACTTCTTGAAGCTGTTTTCAGCAGCTTCAGATGGGTAACAGATTAATCTTTGCCGGACTAGGCAGGAAACAGTGCTGTTGCCCTCCTCCTTGGAGGCTGTTCTGACTGCCTTGTTGTGTCCTTTGGAGTTGAATGTAAAGCTCTGATGTACTTTGAACATACAAAGGTCATCCGGTTCCTTGACCTGTTGCCTCTCTGCCTGCCCAGGCTGAGCTCCCGCACTGTTGCAATGGTGTTGGTCTATCTGCTGTCTCTTACAATAAAGGCCATGCTGTCTTACAGTACTGCAGACTGCAGTTAAGCATTAAGCTGTTGTGGGGTTTTTTACGCATAGGTTCATCTGGGTTGCCTGCCCTGGGTGCAGCATTTAGTTACCTGCAATTGGCTTATCAAACTGCTGTTTCAACTGAGCACGTGACATCGTGACAGGGACAGTAGCAGCTTATTAATAAATTGCTCCAAGGTCCAGATCAGATGCACTGGAATATCCTGATTCAAATTCTGCAGGTATCTGCTTTTATAGAGTGCTTTTTGTTAGCCACCTTAAAAGAAATCCAACAAAGGTGTGTACCTGCCAAACTTCTCTGTGAGGAGCAGGTGTCAGCAGGCATTGCAGCACAGAATTTGCATCCAAATAAGTGTCTTACTGTCATTTTAATAAACAGCTGGTGAACTGATAGGAGGCTTTCTGTGAGTTTTTGTCTGTTTCAGTTGTATTTCAGAGCCTCAGATTTGGCCCATGTGCAAGTAGAGGGCCGGAAAAAAGGGAAGCATTACCCAGTGGCATAGAAGCTCCCAATTTCAGTTCCACTGCATACGTACAGTGCTGTGACTCAGGTGTGCCCTGTAGATAACAATGACATGCAACAGGCAGCCTGCAGGCCAGATCCCCCCGGCAGGATGCATCCCTTCAGCCCACTACTTTGTTCTTCCCACCCCATCAGCCCCAAATGCTGCCTCCTGCCTGCCACACCTACCTGATAGCTTGCACCCTGAGGTGTGGGTCTGAAGGAACCCTGCTCCCTGGGACAGGCCAGACGTGGCATTTCTGCATGTTGCCAGAGGTAGGGGTTTATCCACTTGGCATCATATGAGGGTCATGAACTGGAACACAGGGTTTAGGTGGTCTCTGACTGAAATGGAGGTTTCCAGGTGCATACTCTGCTGAAGTCTCATGATAGACGTTTAATTTTTTTCTGGATTTGCACTTATGAATGTAACAGAGGGCTGTGGATTCTCCCATAGAGTCAGACAGTCATGGAAATGTGCAAGTCTCCCATGATTTTTGAGTCTCTGCTGAACAGGAGCCTTGCATCTGTTTGTTAGTATAGCTAAATAGACGGATTTCATATGATCAAAAGAGTGGGGAACAATATCTTACCATGGCAATATATGATCTTTAAGTGCTATTATAAAGACATTTTGATTTTTCTGTCTGCTTTCACCATTAGCTGCTCCTGTACTCCAGAAACCTATGGGTCTCACTGTGCCTTGAAGTTTGATGACTGCCAGGGAGAATCTGAGACACTCTGTGGGCATGGCATCTGCATAGATGCAGACAGGGATCAGCCCAATAGGGTAAGGAACGATGTATAAGTCTCATTGTATAGCACACCACGAATAAGCAACAAATAATGGTGAGCACCACAAAACTGCGTCGCACACACTGCTGCTGAAAAACAGCAAGGAATGCCACTGTACAACACAACCTAACCTCTCTGTTCAACATACAGTTGAATGGTTTTCTGGAGCAAGCCAGCTCATTCTTTCCCAGAGAGAATCTGACTACAGGGTGTTCACTCCAAAGGGACATACGGAACATGCCAGCTTTGGCTCTTTCCACTCAGAGCAGCCCTCCAAAACTACCCTGCCAAGCCTGTGCTCCTTAACACTCCTATACACCGATGCACCATTCCAGACACACCACATATTCTTTGTGCTATGCTATGAAATAATTTGTTTGCTCAATTTGTAGAAGTTTTCACAACTCATCATTTCTTTTCTGCTCATTTTTTGTGGAAAAAGCTTTTCAAAAGGGTTCAGTGATGGCTTAACAGTGTCTGCTCCTGTGACAGTCAACAGTAAAACTCCTATTAGCTTTAATTGGACTGAAGTGAGATAAATGCTGAAATCTGGCCATTAGTAAAGTTTATGAGAGAAAAATGTTTTCGTCGGAAAAAAAAAAAGTATATTTGCAATTTGATGTCAGTGCTGCACATTGCACCTATTACTGAGCAGTTTGCTTAAAAGAAAACAGCCAAGCTGATTTCAGGTTGCTTACACTGATCTGTTTACCCTGGTTACAAAGCAAAGTGATGACTTTTAATTATGTTTATGTACAGCTCATAATTGCTGTTCATTTTTTCTGGGAACTTAATGAATGAGCCTGTTGTTGCTTCAGTAATCTAAATAGGTAAATTAAGGGGAAGAAATGGACTGAGAAAACTACCAGTGCAACTTTTAAAACAGAATGTGTAAACCATGTAATGCTCTGAAAGCTTTAGTTTAAAAGTTTTATAAAATTAACTCCTCCTGCCCTTTTCTTGACTGTTCTGTCTTAAATATGTAATGTGATGTTTGCTGTGGCAGCCCAAGTATCGCTGTATCTGTGACACTGGCTGGATGTCCCCTCCTGGCAGCCCTGCCTGCAATGCTGATGTAGATGAATGCAGCCTCCCTAATCGTCCATGTTCACAGAATCCGCCTGTGCAGTGCCACAACACACCAGGCTCCTACTGGTGTGGTCCCTGTCCCACAGGTATCAATCACATCCTTCTGTGCTCTCATATGGGAGGGGGTGGCAGCAGGTAGTATTTCCTGTATGTCACATGCAGAGGATCCAGATGAGAATAATTCCATGAAATGCTTTGGTCTGTAGTCTACAGAATAAATGCCTACAGGATGTGTCTTGTCTAGGTAACACAGGCAGTGGAGTCTTAACACACGGGTTTATCCCATCCTAAACTGATCATCTAAGTAGGTCTGCTGTACCTCATGTTTGTCATGTCCTATTCCCTTTGTGTAATCGGTCCTTCCTGTCCCTATGCTCACTGTCCTAAGGCAATATAAAAATCTAACTGTCCCCTCAAGCCATACAACCTATGATTCCTCTTCCTCAGAGGGACTGGTCTTCCCTTGTGTTACAGAAGTGAGATTCAAAAGTTACATTTTTCTATTCTGAGAAAATATTTGGTCAAAGAAGAAAATGAAAGGTCAAGCATTTTCTCTTTTGATGTCTCTCCTGTGTTTCTTTTTAGGCTGGCAAGGAAATGGCTACAGTTGCCAAGACATTGATGAATGTCAGACTAATAATGGAGGCTGCTCAACAGTACCGATGGTTCAGTGTATGAACACAATGGGATCCTTCCACTGTGGGCTCTGTCCACCAGGTAAAATGGATATTTTTGTTGATAAAACTAGGAAAAGATTTAAAAGGTAAAGCTTCAACACATTTGAGCCTATTTTATGATACACTTAAGAAGCTGAAGATTGATTTTATAAAAAGAAGTATTGCACAAACAAAACAATACTGTAATATAAAGAGTCCAAGTATATTCAAAATGCTTCAGCTATTAATGAATGTTTGTAGAGTATGTCTGTTAATACATCCTCTGAAATGTGTTTCTCTTTTACTAGGTACATTTTTTTTCAGTGTTAGAGCCTGGATTTGACTTCCTTTAAAAGAAAAAGTTCATTAATGGGAGGCAAGGATTGCATAATTGTGATAGTAATTTCATTGTCTATGTTAATTGAAAGAATATCCTGTGTGCCATGACTCAACTGTATTTTCTGTCTTTAAAAAGCCTAGAGAATTGTTTGTCACGCTCTGAATGCTGTCTAAGAGGGCAGTGTTTCCATTGCAGTACTAGTCAAGCAGTCGAAGTGGTGACTTACATCTGTATAATTTGTGGTTTACGATCTGAAATTCTTTGAGATGCATGATATCAATATTAGAAGTACCAGCAGGAAAAAGCATTTCTAATTGACCTTTCAGTTGCTATTTATGTGGCAAGAGACTGCAGGTAGTGAAGGCTCTCAGCTACTGAGTGCTGAAGAGCTATCGCCACGCTGGAAACATGGCCTCAGAGTAGTTTCGATGTGGTGCCCTGAACCCCAGCTCTGGTCGTGCTGCAGCGCTTTGGCCCTGCTGAGCCTCCCGAGAGGGGCTGGATGTTGTGTTTGAGAGCCTCCGCTCTGGCATGCAGCAGGAAGCCCGGAGGTGGTTGGGTCTGGCTGGGTGCAGACGTGTAGGGGGAAAAGGACATGAAAAAAAGGCTGAGAGATCTCAGCTCCTATGGCCTCACTCTGAACCCACCTATATCTGGGTAATACTAATATACCTTTTTTTCTAAAATCATGGGAGGATTTAATTACGATTGGAATCAATCCCTGCATGTAGGAACCACAACTAATATGATTTTTTTTTTTTTTTTACAGCACTGATCTCAACTTTGTCTTTTTAACTGCAGGCAAATATGTCTTTACACCATAAATAATTTCTTTTTCTCATCAGTTGATTTTTTTCCTGTCAGTTCTCAAGAACATAGGTTGTTACAGACTAACTGAGATTTACTTCTGAACAGGTTATGAGGGAGATGGACAAACATGTACCCATGTTGATATCTGCTCAATAAATAATGGAGGGTGCCATCCTTTGGCTACTTGTACCTCAGCTCCAGGTATGATGCCTTCTTAAGGACAGCTAATAATACCAGTGCGAATCTCAGGGAGGTTTTGGTTAGGTTCAACCTGCCTTGTAGCAATATATTTAGACTACAGCCCCTTCTCCACAGTCAGTTTTGCCTCACCCAAAGGAGTTTACAGGCAGGTTAGCTAAAGCTAGCGGGTATTTCCACAAACATTGAAAGGAATAGATTTAGGCTCTACCAAAGTGCAGATTTTGTCATAAAAACGTAGAGATTTTTAGCATTTCTCTTTGATGTAATTTTCCAATTTCAGCTGCTTTTTTTTTTATTCTTTTCCTTTCCATAAATTCCCTTTAACTGCTCCCACCACTTCCCACAAAGGTCACCTTGCACTCTCAGGTACCTGTAGCAAAGCAACACTAGGGATCTTTCCATGGTCAAACTGGACACTGCCAGGGGAACCCTATGAAAAGATCAAATAAGTTAGAATTCTGTAAAGTCTCTGCTTCAAAATGTCAAGGACCTTTACTGTGGTGGTTGCTACTGTAACTGTAACAAGGACTGAATTACTTTGTGTCTTGTCCCATCTCCCAAGGGCCAATACCATTTTGTTCCTGCGCATCTGGATACACTGGAAGTGGATATGGGCCAAGCGGGTGCTCTCCTCTCAGTGACATCTGTCAGCTACAAAACCCTTGTGCAAATGGGCAGTGCTTGGTAAGTGCTGGACTCCTTGCAGTTAGTGACAACGTTATGTTGTAGCTGCTAACAACAGGGAGACTGGTGAGACTGAAAGCTGAGTGCAGACATACTAAAGGTACAGAGGCAGGGTCAGCAGGTAGTGGGAGATACCTGGGGAAAACACAGTGAGTTTCAGGGTACACAAGTAATTTCTTTGTGTGTTTGAAATAGAGGCAGCAATCTTAGCACCAATAACCTGAGCAGTCGTAGCCGGTATCCCAGACTAGTGATGAGATGCTGGTGGGGGAGAACTGATGGATGACTGTCCCTCATGGGGCAGGAAGGTAATTTACCACCTTGGATCTTGGAAGAGTTATCCATGATACTAAAACCAGTACCTCTGCTGACCTTGAGGCTGCTAATATCCAGTACAGTTAGTTATGTGTACCTAGGCAGATCTTGTGAGAGCCCCCCTGGAGTCTGGGGATGTTGATAGGGATATAGAAAGGGTGCCATGTGGGAATTGATTGCACTGCTGCTGGTAGCTGAGTGTTCTGGACCTTTACTGGTTGGTGTTGTGAATTTATTCTCATGCACAGTGATCATTTAGTTTCGCCACATGGACCCTGTGAAGGCCTTTTGGCTTCCTCCATGAAGCGTGCTGTGCTCAGGAAAATCCACGCTGCAGACCTCAGGATTTTGATAATTCTGTTGTGGAGGATATTTATGATTATCGTTTTGGAGAAATATTTGCAAGTGGTAAATTTGTTTTTCCAGTAGATTCCATTTGTTCACATTGGTCTGCGTATATCCTCCTTTAGATGATCCTGGGAGGCAGGGGGGAAATGGGACATACAATATGGACTTGGCAGTATTAGCTTAACAGTTGGATTCGATGACCGTAAGGGTCTTGTCCAACCAAAATGATTCTATATGTCACCTTTCCCTTTTCCCATTTTCTGTGTGAAAGGAGATGAACCCTTCACTTCCCCTTCACCCCTTACCAGTATTCCTTCATCTCTTCTGTAGGTACCTATGGTCTTTTCACTCAGATATTTAAAGGACCTTTTGTGCCCGGATCTAACTGTAGGCAATCATGGCTATAAACTACTAAATAAAGACTGTAACACAGTCAGGTACTTCAGTAATGGGACTACAGAAGCATTTAATAAAACAGAGGAACTGCAGAGCTGTATTTGTCAAGTGTAATGGCAGATGAAATGTAATGTTCATTAAATATCAGCCAGTGCAGATCAGAAAACACCTTTTCACCTTCTAAAGGCACCTTTAGAGCCCTAAATACACATCAAAATCTTCTTCCATCATACTGAAAATCTCTGTTCAGGACACAGAGGACATGAACAGAGAATGGAAAAGGAAATAGGGAATACAGCACACCGATTGTATGTAATTGAAAATGGGATTATTAGCATGAACCTTGGAATACCGTGTTCTACTTTACCTGTTAAAAACACGTCTATAAAACAAAATATAAGAAAAGAGAACATGCAAAATGAAAAAAGCTAGAGATATGGAGTCTTGATTGTAAGGAGAAGTAGTAAAGCTTGAGACAGAAGAAATAGAGAAGAGCCATACAGAATAAGGAATAGTGCAGAGAAGGCAATGAAATTACTCCCATTTAACATCCGTCAGGGGGAAATGAAAGTTAACAGCCTGTGCAACTGCAGTGCAGACTTCCCAGAGAACAGGCCAGAGAAATGATTTATAAACCACTCTTATCTTGACTTGCTATTTATGAGATTATATGCCTGACTTGTTTCTAGGGTGATCTTTTAAAGCCAAGCAGACAGTTTTCTGAATGGCTAAATGAATACAGCTTTTGACTTTTTTAGAAAGTAATTTGAAAGAGCCCTGCAAAGAAATAACTTAATAGAAAAATCAAAGAGCTAGCTAATGTGATTAGGCTGTGGATTTATTTTGGTATTCACCAGTGACCATCAAGACCATTAAATTCCAAAGGTTTTATTTCTTTGCTCTGATACCTCCACATAAAGTAAGTGTAAATATCAGTCTTACTGCCAACTACATTGATTCCTTCCGTTGATCCATGCTCATTAAGTTTACTGCATTTGCATATACCTGTAGGCAACGATCTCTGGGTATTTCTGCCTATGTAATGCGGACTGGACAGGCCCTAATTGTACAGAGAACATTGATGAATGCATTAGCAACCCGTGCCAGAATGGGGGGAGCTGCACTGATGGCATCAACAGCTATTCCTGCGAGTGCACCAGCGCCTGGACAGGACCACAGTGCCAGACAGCCCAGCAAGGTATGGCTGGCATCTTCTTCCCAGGAGAAATGGGCCACCAGGCTTCAGCGACCAGATGCTTGGTGTATATGATTAATGTCAATAAGACCCAAGTTGTGATGGGGAAAAAAAGCTTCTTGGGGCCCCTTGGAGTCAGAGTCTTCTGTGAGGTTTGTTTATAGCTGCTTTGTTTAGCAATAACAGTGTAACAATAAAGTTGATCTGCAGGCGCACTGGCCAGACATCCTAAAATCAGGTCTCTGTTCCTGAGAATTGGCCTGCTAAGCTGGTTGGGAAAGAGGATCAGATATAAGGAGAACAGGTTTACAAGAGACTTTCTCTTCTGTGCATACTATTTCATTTGTTGTGAAGCTGAAAGGTCCTGAAATTTTTTGTTTAGCTGAAAAGCCAGAAAAGTTTTCAAACAGAAATTTAATGAAAGAAATGTTATCCATGAGAATGGGGAACTCTGAATTTTACAGTGACTGCAAGCGAGGTCCTGCCTTTAACATTCCTTCCTAATATAACTTTTTGTTTGGGATTTTTTTGTCATTAATCTTAATTAACCAAGTTCTGGCTAGCAGTCCAGTGAGCATCCCTGTGGCAACCGTCTGTCAGATGGCCCATATTTATCACAGGTTGCTGTGAAGAAAGCAGATTAATTTTTCACAGAATACAGAATGTAAAACTTTTATGGAACCACTGTGAAATATGCTGTTTTAGAGCTACTTCAGGCTCTTTCCTATTTTCCTTAAATATCTGACTAGTAATGTTTTATTATGAAGCACACATGGAAAAAAATATTTTTAACCATTCATGATAGAAGGGATAGAAAACCAGTTTTTGTTCAGTGAAAAATTATAATGTATCAACTTTTGGTTTAGTTCCCAACCAAGGGAAAAATAATACATTTTAGGACATGATAATTTTGTATCTCTTTGGGAAATGGTGAGACATTTGAGATGTACACTTCAAACAAAATCATATTCTTTTTACCATTCCTTTAAACAAAATACTTTGTTGCAGAGAATTAAATATTTCTTTAGCATCAATGCAATGTTAAACTACAGCTCCTTGGTGCACACTGTAGCTCTATGTGCATTGTATTTTGGGTACATTATGGACATATTTTTCTGTAGCTATTTGGGTTTCCCAGTGCACAGGTCCCGTTCATTGGATGACTCAGTGAGGGAAGAGACCATGGTGTATCATGGGAGGTATTATCAGACTCAAGAGTTCTGACCAAAAAGAATAAATGGGACAATAAAACATCTGGCAGATAACTTCTATAATGCAGTACTGCTGAGAAAGACAATTCTATATCATGTTAGCTTCAAAATGTTATTTCATTGTAGGAGAAAAATTTAAAGATTCAATGTAGAGCTATCCTTCTGGGAACAAACTAGTTTATGGACATTTTCCTGAGACAGAATCAACATCTTTTGCCAGTATCCACATATTCCAGCTAAAATTCTTTATTCTTTTTCTAGGAACTACTTTTCTCTCAGGAAGTAATTGTGCTCATTTTTTGTGATTTCATTCCAATTCAGAAGAAATCCTGAAGAGTCTTCCATAGAAGTATCTTCCACCCTTGTTTTAAATGTTTAGGAAGCCAAAGCTATGCTAGGAAGCTGGGGTTTGTTGAAGTCTGTATAATGATAGCACAAATTAATCCATTTAATTTTCTCTTTCTGCAGTTTGTGGAGGATACCTCTCAGGCTCCAGGGGGACTTTCAGTTACCCTAACAACCCAAACAGCCAGCGGTACAGCAGTGGGGTCAGCTGCGCTTGGCTTATTCAAACAAATCCCAACAAGGTAAAACAGAGTTCAGGTTAAAGAAACCCTCATTCTGCAGGAGGCCTCATCCCTTCAGAGCAAACGTGACCATCTTCATGCCACATGCTCCAATATTGTGATCCACTCCCCTCAGAATAAAGAGTTGTTTCAAAAAGAGCAAGTTTCAGAACCTTACAAGCCTCTGGGCTCCTTAGCCTCAGAATTTGACTGGGTTACGTTTTCAAGGTTTTCCTGTGCAGCTGTGAATAGCTGCATGAGAAAAGCTTTGCTGTGTTGGGCACCACAGTTGGTTCATGAGCTAAGTGACCCCAGAACAATTCCATTTTTCCAATTTCTGAGCACCAGAAATATGGAATGCTTAATTCTTGTTGGCAATAGGTTTGTGTAATAGCAGTATTTCAATTTTTTAAGTGTTAATTTTTAAATGTTACACTCACATATATAGTCTGATTCTGATCTGTAACTAACAATTCCACTTGTGTTATAAATAACAACTACAAAATACCCTACTTCATGCTTTAACGTGGAACTTCTTACTTGGGATCTAAATGTTTGATCTTTTTTTGACAGTTCATGGAATGAATTAAGTAGTTTTATAAACCCGTGGTTGCTAGTGGTTTATACAGCATGATATATACATATGTGATATATCCTCAGCTTTACTCATGACAGCCAATACTGTCTTCAGTATCTTAAAGCACATCCCTGAGGAATCTGAAGATACTTAAAGCTGTGCATGCCACTAAGTATCTAGAGTGGGCTTATGAGACACTGATTTTATACATGCAAAGAAGATAATTTCATTTTTTGACTCCCATGACAATGGGACAAGGATGAGAAATGTTAACTGTCTGATGAGAAAACTGCCATGGGAAACCTGGAATGAAGTATTTTATACTCTATTTCCGACCTTTCACATGGCTTGAAATATGCACATATACGTTTCACATATATAATGGACAAAGTCAAATGCTCTCAATTATTATAGACATTTCCAGACAACTTCCTGTCCAAATTCTTGCCTATCTTCTCTCTTTTTTTTTGACCCTTAAGATTCTGTAATATCTTCTTCTGTCCTGGAACTTTTTTGGGAATAGCATACTGGCTCCAAAGCTCATAGATTCTCACAGTTGCATGAACAAATACATCTGCTCTATGCAGAGTTACTGCCTGAACAGTCTCAGCAGATGGAAAAAAAGATTTCTTATTTTGCTACTTCCCCTTAGATCCTGCGTATTATTTTCCCATTCTTCCAACTGGAGACAAGTCATGACTGTAATGCTGTGTTCCTACAAATTCATGATGGGCCTTCAGCATCAACGCATATGCTGGGAAAATACTGTGGCTCCTCACCTCCTGAAGAGCTTTTCAGTTCCCACAACTCCCTCTATTTTTGGTTCTACTCAAGCCACACTGTTACAGCTGGAGGGTTTACTGTTCAGTGGGAATCTCGGGATCCTGGTAAGTTTTATGTAACATCGTGTAGTTTAGCATCTTCATAGCTTTGGAGAAAAAGAAACACTTGAAACATTAGGAGTGGTCCTAATGTCCTGTAGAACTGAAATGTAGACATATATGTAATTTTTAAATATTTAAACTGCACCTCTACACCTCTGCATGGAAAAAAAGCACCTTCTGCTGCTTTTTAAGGCTACTTTATACATCCTGTGAGGAAATCCCCAAAGGGCATGTGTTCCTGGAGATGCTGTTCTTGGGATTAGTTTACTTTTCTCTGAGCACTATCTAGTACTTTGAGCAGGCAACATTTTTGCCACTGACAATTTACAAAAGGTGAAAGAGGTTGAACCATGACTTCCAAACATTGTTGGGAATTTGATTTTAAATTATCTGTAAGGTTTTTGGTATGATTTGCTGTACATTTCTGCCTGAATTCTTGGCAACGTCACTTGCGTGATTCTTCCAGGAGGCCCAGCCATGCATTTCTAGATATAAACTCCAAATCATCTTGTGCAACATCAAGCACAAGATGATTTGTGTTCTGTGTATTGTCCACAAACAAAAGTGTGCATTGGGTTGTGTCTTGAAAGAACCATAGAGTAAAACATAGTGTAGAAAATCCAGGAGGGAAATGGTTTCTTTCTTTCTGGAAATATTTATTGAAATGCTTTTAATGTGATTTTTGGTGGTTTATTTTTCCTTTCAATTGACATTATTAGATAGATAATTACTAATTGACAAATATATGGATACTGAAAAGTGAAAACTGATCTTTTTTGGGGAAAAAAAGAAAAAGGCAAAGGGGGAGAGAAGTGTGTATGTGTATATATATATATATATATACATGTCTCTAAACTAGCTATTCCTTAGGTATAACACAAGTTACCCCTACCTTTCCCAACTGTTACGTTGAGAGGGATGGTTTTTTTATTAGAGGTATATAAACCAGCCTTCTCTCTAATTTTTTTTTTTAATGAAAACAGCCTTGTGCTAGGATAAAACATGGAGACTATTTACAAAGTACAGAAATTCAGATTAATTTTGTAAATTCAATCCAAAACACAGTGCTTTTGACCATTCTCCTAAAGATATTTCCATCAAAACTGGGAAAGAATCTTTCTTTTACTATGGAAATCAGGAGATATTTGGAGTTCTGCTTTTATAACTGAGTTGCAGAATTAATAGTAATTTTTAAAGAAAGAATAAGTTGGTTTGTTTGGCCTGATCTTTGTTTTTTAATTTATTCTGGAGCCCAAAGTGGTACCTGGTTTTGACACTACAGGAGAATTCATCTTCTGACCTGACATGTGGTGTTAAGGATTGTGTTCTTCCGTGTTTCTTTTCTGTTAGAATGTGGTGGTGAGCTGACGGGTACTTATGGCTCGATAAGCTCTCCAGGATACCCTGGTAACTATCCTGTAAACAGAGACTGTTTCTGGACCATCTCAACCAGTCCTGGCCTCCTCATCACATTTGCTTTTGGCACACTAAGGCTGGAACACCATGAAAACTGCAGTTATGACCATTTAGAGGTAAAATATAATTGTGGATTATGACAACATTTTATGGCTGTGTTACTGCAAAACAAGATATTTCAAAACTTTTTGTATGTGCAGAAGGGGGGACTGTTTGCAAATCCTGGGTTGAAATGTTCCTTTGAACTAACTTATTCCAGCCAGCACAATGAGATACAGGCAGTATAACAGAAAGGGAATGAGATCCTGCTCCACCAAAGTCAGTGGAAGCCTTGTGACTAAAGACGATTCAGGCCAATACCTGGTGGGAAACTTTCACTTCCTTAAAAAGCTCAGGCCCCTCGAGAGAACTTTTAGAGTGTTGGTACTGTTCACAGTTGGCACACATCTAATAATCCTAAACGCTGATCTATCATTCTGTCTAGATTAGAGATGGTCTTCTTCCACAAGACCCTGTCCTTGGCAAATACTGTAGCACTGGATCTCCACCCCCACTCCAAACCACTGGTCCATATGCATGGGTTCACTTTCACTCTGATGAGTTAGTTACTGATAAAGGCTTCCACATTCTCTATACAACATCTCCTGGTAAGTAAAATTCAGTGTTAAAGGTTGATCTGTTACATTCCCAATCCATAGCCAACAGCACATGAATGGATGTAATTAACACTTCCTATTTAATACAGAAATCCTCCTTGATTGGCAGCCATTGTATAGAGGCAGCCTAAACAAAGGGTTACTGAATTTGTGAATATCTCAATTGATGTATTTTTCTTCTTAATACAGCAGATCCAAGTTGTGGAGGAAATTACACGGATAGTGAGGGGATTATCACATCACCTTTCTGGCCTAACCCTTATGTCAACAACCGACAATGTATCTACATTATCAGACAGCCAGAGGATGAAAGAATATACCTCAACTTCACCCATATGGAGCTGGAGAGTCACACTGGTTGTTCATCAAATTATATTGAGGTGACTTCTCTTAATCAGTTGATATGAAAAGTTGATTACATGTGTGTAGAAAACGGTGCTGCATAATTTCTGTCCCAAGGGCCACGGCAGAAATAGGTGTTAATCAAAGGACTAAGTATACTAATTTATTAGGGTCCAAAAGTCACAGGGGCTAAGAGAGCAGGACTGTACATTTGGAATGAAGCAAAGATAAGAGAACAAGAAAATCTGTCTATCTTAACACTAACTCTTAATCAGCTGTACGTGATTAAGGTGAAGTTTGGACCTTTGGTAAATGCATGCCAAATACAAGAAAAGTAGAAATAATGCCTTAGCCACTATGCAGTGTTTTCTGGAGTCATGGTGTTATACAGAAATCCTTGTTCTGGCGCAAAAATGAAGCGCATCACATATATATTTACAGATACATACATATATACACATGTAAAACCAGGAGTTTATCGTTAGCATAACTGAAATCTTACCAGTCTAAATCAAGAGTTATTAGTTTAAATATTATTATTACAGAAAAAAATAATAGTACAGTTAGAATGTTTCTATACAGAAAATGTTGGAATAATACAATAGTGATGTTGATACTAACTGGGATCCACTACTGGGTTTTATATTTGCTTTTACACACAGCTCTCTTCATTGCTCTACAGCTTCATGTTACATCTGAATTTACTACTACAGTGTGCCTTTTAAGTATACTGGATACCATTTCTTCATTTTGTTTGTTATCCCTAAACCCGGTTTCTCCATCTCCAGGTCAACATTTCTTTAACTGACCATGGGTGGGGTTTGGCTTGGTGCTGTGCAGGCTGGGGGCTCCCTAGAGGGGCAGAGCAGGGCCTACAGTCAGGGTCTGTACTGCTGTCGTGGCAGGGGAGCAGGGCAGTCACTGGCATCAGGCACCTCCCAGGGGACAGGGTTGGGACATGGACCTTCAGGTGGGCCCAGCTCAGCAGACCCCATGGCTGGGCAGGGCAGGGCTGTGGGGAGCTGGAGACTGTCCATGCTGCAGTGTCACTGGGGCAGGAACCGATGGTCCTGGGGAGCTGACTTGCGGTTCTAGGCCACAGACAGCGTGTGGGGGCCCCAGAGGGAGCCAGGCTGGGCTAGTGAGCCCAAGTGGTGCCCTCAGGGCCTGACAAACTCTTCATGTTGGTGACCCGTACCCCTTCTCCTGTCAACCTGTCCCTGTGCTCCTCAGTGCCGCACCCTGGCTTGCCATGTCTCAAGGCATCTGCTGTCATACCCAGCCTATATTTCTCCACGCTGCATTATCACGTTACAGTTATAAATACCTCATCCTACACGGAATGAGTTCTGGATACTGCTCGCTGTACCACACAGAGGTAAACAGGAGTCAAACAAGCTGGGCACAGACACCTAGTTGATCGGCGAAGGTGCTGATGCAGGTAGGAGCAAGCTTTGTGGCCCCAGCGCAGAGCTGGATCCTGTGCCACCAGCTACGCAGTTACCTGGCAGCATGGGTTTGGTTTTGTGCGTAATCTCTTCTTGACCAAGTGAGGAATAGGCCCCTGTGAGCTCTGTGCAGTTAGTCTGGTTTTAAAAGATGTTATTGTGCTGACATCGTTCCTTCTCTCCTCCTCTAATTCAGAGACTTTGGTTGGAATGAAGTGTAATTAATTTCTGAAATGAGAGGGGAAGTGTGTTTAATGAAAACAGACAGCTTTTGTTTGTTTGGCCTGGTACTCCTCTTGCCTAATTGCTGGCAGAACAGCAGCTAAATTCACAGCAGCCAGAGAAACAAAACCATTGCTGTTGAACGCAATCAGTTTGTATTAATTCAGCAAGGCATTTACCTCGCTGTTTGCTGCTCAGTCACAAGCCGTGCAGTTTCCCTCTGCTTCTGTCCTCCTCTTCTTCCTACACTCTCAATTGGCGGCTCAGCCCGGAACAGAGAAACAGAACCAACATTTTCTGACCAGGACAGTCAGTACAACTAAAGCACTGTGCTCTTTTATCAAGGCCCGATTTTCCACATATGTTTTTCTAGAATACTGTCTCATTGGGTTTTATAATGAAGTTCAGCTAGGGACGTGGCTTTTAGTTGTGTAAGTTACTTTAAAAGTCATTCTCCAAGAATTGTCACTTTGAAAAGGTGCAGATTATTCCCATCCCTGGCAATATCAGGAAACCTTCAGAGTTTCCACAGGGACCAGACACAGCTCACAGGCATTTGCTCAGGGAGGGGTGTTTAGTCTCTTACTAAGGAAGGAACAGCCTGGGACCAGGGACCTGCAATAAGAAACTAGAGACAAAGCTGCTTGTTTAAGAAGGACTGTGACATGATGTTGCAGAGGTTAGCCAAGGCAGCTCCTTCTCCTTGCCATCCTTCTAACTGGCAATAGGAGACATTGCTCACATGGTTTGGAGAACCTGTTATTTTTATCACTACTCACTGGACTTTATAAACCAGAAATTTAAGGAGAATCAGCTCAAGAAAAAACGTAAACTCCTGTGCGCTATCATTCTGGAAACTTTTACTATTGTCTAAAGATTTTCTAAATGCTCCAGCACAAATTCTGATCGATAATTTTGTAACCTTAAACTAAAGTTCCAGGGAAATTAAAAATATCAGAAAGTCATCTCCATCTCACCAGCTGGAGATTGCCAAAGCTGGGCAAGCAGGCAGTGCCTGCTCACCAGCACACCGACAAGGGTTCCCTGCCTTCTGTCCCAACCCTTGGGGGAATACAGCTGAGAAGGAAAAATGAGGTAATGAGCAGGGACCTGAAAGCTGGATGTCCCTGGCTTTGCAAATGATTCCACTGTAATGATTATTTTGGATTGAGAGCATATAGGTCTTTTTAAAAGCAGCTCTAGCTACATAAGCTACCACCACGTTTACAGCAGAAAAGAGCTGGTTTGTTTTTAGGAGAATCTTTGGGAGAAAAATTGCATTTTTTTGTGTGGGCATATAGCAGGGGACCTGTTTTTTTTAACCTCAGCTTGTTGGCTGCCCTCTTGGAATGAGATGGTATGCTGGATTCAGTCAGGAAAGAATTAACTCTCTTTACCGTGGCTGCTAGGAAGCTGTTCCTGGATGCAGAGAGCAGCACTGATAAGTTCTTAGCTGGCGCTGGGGAATGTCTGCACCAGATTCAAAGTCTTTCTCCGCTTCTGATCCTGCAGCTGCGTTCCCAGCTCTCGCTGTCTTGCTACAGGCCGTGCAGGGGACACACAGTTCAGACACCTGACCCAAACTGGCCAAGGAAGTATTTCATTCCATAGTATGTCATGCTTGGGGCAGAGGTGAGGAGGGAGTCCGGGAGCCATTGCTCTCTCCCTTACTCTCTTGCTCGTACACTTGCTGACACTCTCCCTGACTCCATCTCACGCTCCTGCGTTAGCTGCTTTGCTAACTCCTGTGCTGGCTCGTTCGTGAGGGAGTTGGTGGGTTTGTTTAGTTTTCCCACTTGTGCTGTCGGTGATAGAGTTTGCTCGGAATCTGCTGCGACAAGTGCTTGGGCTGCGATCACTCTTGGGCTGGGTGATAGAGTTTGCTCGGAATCTGCT